AACGACGCGCGACGAAAAAGCCTTGCGGAAGATAAAAGGAAAGAGTAAAATATATAAGTACCACAAAAAAATAATAAAAAAATTACAAAGAAAGATTATGCATTTATTTTTCACGTAAGCTACTCGCCGCGGCTTGCACAACTATCTTTTGGCCGTAAGATAATGTTCAAACTCGTTAGTCGCTTCGAAATGCAATGTGCGAGCGCAACAACCGCGAAGTAACTTGTTACGTTGGAAATACATAAATCCTTCGACGCAGGAGACTTAATTAAATATCCTTAATAATCATTTCGCTATTTATCTCGACAATCTTCCTGACAAGGACAAGGATTAAGAGTCGCATAATCGTCCGTTCGGCGCGACGACGCGACGTGACGCGACGGCTGCACACTCGTTAGTTGTATTAAAACTATAGAACGCGCTCACACACGCGGCCACGTCGTAATACCGAAGTACCGTTCCGCGGACGGGACCGCGAATAATTTAGCCGTCGTTGTTGAGCTTGCAAATGTATGTTACGGCTAGATTATATCGTGCGACGCATCCGCCGCGCCGCGCCATGCCGCGAACAACACGTAGTTAATATGCATGCGCGGCTTAATTTGCATTAACCCGGCGCGCATCCAGAGTTGTATTATGCGCGCGGAAGCGATGCTCGAAGACAGGACGTGTCGCGGGGCGAGGAGAAGCAAAATAAGAGGGAAGAGGATCATTCCGCGAATCTGAAGGATTCGCGCACGACTTGCGCCGAAACTATTTCGCGTACCTGCCTTCCCCAAGTTAAAGTTATGCAGATGTTTCCTGCAAATTACGCGTAATTAGAACAAAGCTATATAATTTAAGTAACGCTGTATGGAAATATGATATGCCAAGCATGGGCAAAATATTCGAGGGACAAAATGTGATATTTCAACGCCGAGAAGTAGAGAGATGATAAAATACGAGATACGCGCGCGAGAGATATGAGCGGAAAATTATTTCTAGATGACATTTAGCACATATTTATCATAAAATGTGCAAATAATTGATATATACGATAATAATAATTTTAATTAACGTTGAAAATGATGCAGTTGCAACGCTTCTGTAATCAAGCTATTTATTATATTCACATAAACTACTGCAATTAGTAACCGATGATTCAATTACAGTCTCAGTTTACCGCGTCGCTATTATTTTATCCGTTCGCTGGCGTTTGAAATGTTTCACTTGCGCGTTCTCGGTCCGACTAGATTATACTTTCGTGCATGTTAATGTCCCCCTCCCGTCGAAACAACAACGGGAAGAATAGTTAGCGCGTGTAATGCGAACCGCCTATTAGGCCGAGACCTCGTTCAGACCTCGTCGTAACTGTGCTCCGCGGGAGGAAGAGATAGGGAGATAATATAAAGCGCAGAGGAGAGTCTAATGAACGTAGGTAAACAGGGGCGGACAAGTTTATCTCGAGAGTCGCTGGGGCACCGCAAAGGGAAATTAGCGCGCTAATGTTATCTCTGCGAAAAGCAATTAAGCCCGCGGTAATAACGCACGTCGCGTCCATAAAGCTGCGGGCGCTCCCCTCCGAACGGCGAAAATTGAATACTTATTATCGCGCAACCGCGGAAAATTCAAACCGACCATTGAACCGTTTCCCCGGCGCCATTTCGCGCTCTGCTCATCCGCCGACGGCGAGATCGCGGACCTTAATGAAAAATGCGCAATTTCGAGCGAGCTCCGACGCACAAAGGACAATTGCGGGGGCGATAGACATGGAAGTCATTACCGAAGAAGAGAACTCGGATGAATTAACAGAGCGCGCAGCTCGTTTTAATGGATGCCGTTTTGCTCGCGTCGCAAACTGAAAGCCGCCTATCTTTCAATTGTATCATCTGGTGAGCGATGCAATCGCTCGATGTGATACGCACATTCGAGCTGGTTCTCATTAGCGGCTAATTACGCAGGAAATTATGTAATTCCTTTATGAAAAGTAACGCGATCTCAGCGCCGCATCGAACTCGACTTAAATATATATTCAAAGATAAAGAAGTGTTGCGGAAAAGTGGAGCTATATATACGTATCCGCGCTGCAAACAAATTAAAGGGAGGAGAGTATCTGCACAAGATGTGCATCTCTCCTTTCGTCAAGAGTGAGACGTGAAACGGGAGAGAGATCGTTGATCTGCTTTGCGCAACCCTAATTGTACATTACGACGTCGTAAAAAATTCACCGCAGCCGATCATTTTTGCGATAAGATACTTATGCTACAATCGCGAGCTACTTATCGCGAATCGAATCGCCACCTCGATCTCGATCCGTCGCTCGTTCATTCGATATTCCTCCTCCTTTAAAGCCACTAATGAACCCGTACGGCCACTCGTTAAACATTGACGTTTATAATAAACGTCGATTTAATCAACGCTAAATGCATACGGGTTGCACTGCACGATTATACATGTGTACTTCTTAGTACGAATTTTCATAAATTAGCAAACTTGTAGTCTGTCAATGGTAAATTTTAAAGATTTAGAGAAAAGACGTCGATTTTTGAAGACCAAAAACCAGCTTTTAAATTATGAAAGTATTTTATAATTTTATATTAAACGTACTCTATAATTCAGAAAAAAGAAATTTTACCTTTATTATAATAATAATAATTAAAAATATAATATTGTTAATCGAATGGAATTTGCGCCGGTTGAAATACAGTTAGTTTTCCATCGCTTAACGAAAGCATAATAAAAGCCGGATCATAATGCGAAAAAATTAATATAAGATAAAACGATGTCTTAAATTTTAAGTATCTTATTACAACACGTTAATAAAGGCAGGATTAAAAATCTTATCTTACAAGAGAGACAAGGAATAGATATTCGAGATATCGTGCACTTAAGAGACCGGTCGTTATACAGGTATAAGCATAATTGCATCTTCAAATGCAATCGCATTTGCTATCGTAACGAGAGATCTTTGACTGTTAGGAGTATTCTCTTTCTCACTAATTGTAAGTATATATCGCTTAACTAGTCTCGGGGGAATCGAATTTAGTCCTATAATTAGCAATCACTATGCTTTCATCTGTATTTTTCTCATTTATTTTACTTCCAGTGTAACCGTTTTTTGCCGAACTCCACTAGAATGAATCTGCTAAATATTTACTTTAACTTTGTAGTAATATCAATTTGGTAGAATTACAATTTTATCTTTATTTGTGATAAAAAATCTACGATTATCAGATAAATCATCAGATATCCTGTAATAGAATGTTATATCGTAATCGAGTTTATAACGATAATGTGAACCTCAATAATAACCAAACAAGCATGAAAGCTTTTTAAATTAAAAAAAAAAAGTGTTTATAATTTGTTTTGTATAAAACCATCGCACTGTGCGTCTCAATTTTACGTAAACTCCACAGAATTAAAGTCGATAAGCTTTAAAGCTCGATTAATTCGTCCAGCGCGGCTAATCCCACGCGATTAGGATATCAGCTCAAGCGGTTCGAGAAGCAGACAGGAACTATGGTCGTGCACAAGGACGAGCAGCGTACTTCCTGATAAAATGCTAATTCACTTCGCCGATAATATAGGGCCAAAGACTTGAAGCGAGCGAAAGCGGAGAAGTTAACGGTAAATCAATAAGCCTTAAATTACGAAAATTGGGTCAAATCTTTGCCAGTATCGATCCGTTCGAATCTCTCTCTCTCTTTCTCTCGGTACGCAAGATCTTATCGCGGCAAGGCTATCGGCGAGAAACCAGTAAAGACACGCGGCCTAAAGCTGGGTATACACTTAGCGAACGAACGCCGAACGAACAGCGAACGCGAATGTTCGGACATTCGCGTTCGTGTTCTGAAGTCATTCGTCCTTTTTCTCATTCGCAACAAATGTCAGTGTTCGGCCAAATTAGGTGTTCGCTATATGGTAATGAGAGATTTTGTAACCTAATTATTGTCAGTATAGGTTATTCAAATAATATAATCCTTGTCATTTCAAATCAATGTCTGACGACGCAATTATAGCAAGTGCATGTTATATCATAATGGCACATAATTTGGAAAGACTTAAAAAAAAAGAAAAGAAGGTGGTGGATGACACAATTATATCACAGTCGTTTACAATATAGAGGAAGCAACTTACTAAGCGATTTAAAAGTAAACTATATGGGACAATTTCAAAATTTCTGCAGAATGTCTGCAGAAGATTTTGAACTATTATTAAATAAAATTGGACCTAAAATTTCTAAACAAGATACAGTGTTCCGTCCATCAATTCCTACCCAAGAAAGATTAGCTATTACTCTTCGTTTTCTTGCAACAGGAGATTCTTATACAAGTTTGATGTATCTTTTCAAAATATCTAAGCAATTAATTTCAAGAATTGTGCCTGAAGTATGTGTTGCTTTAATAGAAGCGTTACAAGAAATGATTCAGGTAAGAATAAAACATATTCATTACTTTTAATATAAATTGTTAATATATATATAGTTATTTTATTCACAGTAGAAAACAGAAAACAGAATCACAAAATGAATAAACTTAAAAGTAAAATAAAGTTTTCCATTGTCAATATATTTCTACTTTTTATATCATAGTAGAAAATAGAACACAATCATAGAATGAATAAACTTAAAATTAAAAATAAAGTTTTTCGTTATCAACACTTACATTTCTACTTTTTATATCACAGTAGAAAATAGAACACAATCATAAAATGAATAAACTTAAAATTAAAAATAAAAGTTTTTCGTTATCAACACTTACATTTCTACTTTTTATATCACAGTAGAAAATAGAACACAATCATAAAATGAATAAACTTAAAATTAAAAATAAAGTTTTTCATTATCAACATTAACATTTCCACTTTGTATTATAGTTGAAAATATAGAACACGTATAAAATTAATGAACTTAAAGTTTCTTATGTAACATTAATTCGTAAATTTTATACCACAGTAGAAGAAAATCTTGAACATTAATACTTAATATTTTATATTTATATATTATGTTATTATTACTAAGTTATTAAAAATATATACGGATTCATGTAATCTGAAAATGAACTGAATAGTTGACAAAATTTTTGACAGTCAAAAAACATTTCTGACAACTAAACGCGTGCGTGCACGCGTTTGTATGTGTGTGATAGTGATAACTATTACTTAGTAATATTACTTACTTACAATTAGTAATAATAACACAATTAATTATTTAGTTATTAATTTTTTAGAATATCTTGAATATTAGTTACGTCACTAATAACATACGTTTCATTATTGTTAAAAGTGTTGATAGGCAAGGCAATTGATGATTGCATTTCTGATAACATTTGTGGTGATGGTGACAACGAAGATGAAGAGGAAGATGTTAATATATTATCATGAGAAATTGTAGTAGATTGTGTTTTTAAATGTACAGGTTTATATGTTTCCATATCGGCTTGAAATAAAATATTACTGATTTGATGTTCCACATAACTTTGTGTTTTAACGTTGTATTTACGATGTTTTCTTGCAATGTAATCACCAAAAATGTCACTATTATCCTTTTGCCTGTTTGTTTCTACAGTACTTTTTAAAATGTTATATGCTTCAGATACCCGTGTTTCTTCAAGAGAAAAAGATCTTTTTCTTGATCGTGATATATTAGAGGAAATAGTTTTTATTTGCAACTATTTTTTATTGTTCTCATTTGATATGTCTTCAGAAATTAATATCTCTCCAGATTCTGTGTTACTCTCATCACTCTGAGTTTCTATTAATTCATTTACTGATGATTCATTTTCCTATAACAAATAATTCCAAATTATATTTTTTTCAGATGCCTACTACAGCGGAACAATGGTTAGGTATTGCACAAAAATTCGAAGAAAATTGGAATTTTCCACATTGCTTAGGAACAATCGACGGAAAACATTGTGTTTTGCAAGCTCCAATAAATAGTGGAAGTGATTATTATAATTACAAATCTACTTTTAGTATCGTTTTAATGGGAGTTGCAGATGCTGATTATTGTTTTGTATACGCTGATGTTGGCTGTCAGGGAAGGATTTCAGATGGAGGTGTTTTCAGAAACACTTCTTTTTGTAAAAAATTACAACAAAATAAGATGCAAATTCCTGCCGAAGAATCACTTCCTGGAAGAACTATGAAAGTACCTTATATTTTTGTAGCTGACGATGCATTCCCTCTAACAAATAATATTATGAAGCCTTTCCCTGGTATACAAAAAACAGGAAGCAAAGAGAGAATCTTTAATTATAGATTATGCAGAGCACGACGTATTATTGAAAACACATTTGGCATAATGTCAGCTATATTTAGAGTTCTTCGCAAACCTATGCTCATAGAACCAGAAAAAGCAACTGTTGTAGTATTGTGTTGCATCTATTTACATAATTTCCTTCGCAAAAGTAAATCTTCTCGAAATATTTATACGCCACCTGGAGCATTTGATACTATTGTACAAGGGCAAGTAACAGAAGGAACATGGAGAAATGATAAAGAACTATCATCATTTCTTCCATTATCTAGAATAGCTAGAAGATCTCCACAAAATTGTCATACAATTAGAGAAGAATTTGCAAATTATTTTAAAACAGATATAGGAAGTGTTCCATGGCAAGATAAATATAATTAAATCTAAGTACATTGAAATTACAATTTCTTCTTTATGAAAGTAAATTTAACTTGGGAA